CTGCCGCTGCCGCGCCCGGGGGGATAGCGTCTCGTGTAGGTGCAAAAACACACACAAAAAACGCCCTGGTAGCAGGGCCCCTTGTTATTTCTTGTAACTAAGGTGCACGGTACCCAGTTTTTCAGTTTGGAATAGCATACAGCGCACCAGCATCTCGCAGCGTTGCAAGCCCCTGTACATCACATGTATGTATGTGTATACACATGTGTGTGTGCCTGGAGGCAGATGCAACAAAGCTGGATAAATTCTCCCAGTCTTGTTTTCCTTTCCTTCCTCTCCTTCCTTTTCTTCCTGTCCGGCTGCATCCATCATGTCATTCTGTATAATCTTTTCTACTGGAAACTGGTGCATAATAGGCAGCATTTGACTCCACTTTATCTTAATATAGAGTCATTTTTTCACTGTGAGGTTTTCTTGCAAGGTAACACTTGAGGAATGCATCTAACTTAGCGTACACTTGCTTATAAATAGAATTTGCTGTATTTTTTTATTTTTTTAAGGTAAGTGTACATTTTTCATGTTACATTTATTTGTATGGTTTGAGAAGTAAATTATTGTATTTTCCAGAACGTATGACAGCTGTGAAGTACATCCAGGCCCCAATTTGAACATGATTGTAGGTGCTAATGGAACAGGAAAATCGAGCATTGTTTGTGCCATCTGCCTGGGCCTGGCTGGAAAGCCGTCTTTTATAGGGAGGGCTGATAAGGTGAGTAAAAAGCTTTGTAATGTTGATTTTTAATCTGAATTTAATTGAGGCGCAGTTCAGCAGAAGAAGGAAAAATAATCTTCGTTTATATACCTGTATATATACACACACACACATATATATATACACACACACGCACACATATATAAATAAAATGCAAGATATCTGAATTGTAGAGTAACCTTGATCCAAGATCAAGACCTTTTACCAAAGGAATCACCTAGCTTTAACTGCTTGGCTTCTTGTCTGAATCGTTAGATGGAAAAACTTGTATTTGACTGGAACCTTGGGAAGCTAGCATGTTATATTTTGAAGGAGAACGCCTCCTGTTCCATGAGTAACATTCAAACAAGAATCTGAGGAATGTAAAGTTAAGGCAACACTAGAATAAAGTCTAACATAAATTTCCAAATGTATGGGATCAGTGAAAGATGTCATTGATATGTCTGAGAGTTTATCTAAAAGCCTGAATCTGTTAATCTTTGATTTTAAATGCAAGCTGGCTGATTTGGGGATAAATGTTTCTATTATCTTCAGTAAGATCACTTGTCTCACTTGTACTCCCAAAAGATAATGTGCTGACATCACAGTAGGAATTTAATTTGCATTGTCAGATTTTTGAGTTTTTCTTCTTGCCTTTTTGTGGAACATGTTTCACAAAAGAGTTTTGGGGAACTAAATCTGGGTGTTTAACTGATTTTACAGTGATGTAGGTATTGTGTTTTAGCCTTTCATATTTATTTATGGTTTTTACAATGTTAGAATTAGCGTTGGGCAGTGTTTTGCATTTGCATGGAAAACTTCCTTTCTGCAGATTCTTTGATTATAATTTGTTCAGTATTGGAAATCGAAAGTGTCAATTTGTGGAGGAAGGGCTGGTACTGCGAGCTATTGAAGAAGTTATTGTTAATTGGCAGACAAAATTATTAACTGTCAATATTCAGCAAATACGTTTTATTACATGAACAGATGTATATTTTTGTAAGAAATAACATTTTAAGTAACTGATAATTTGCAATAATAACATCTGTAACTCATTTTGTAGGTTGGTCTCTTTGTAAAGCGTGGGTGCTTGAAAGGTCTAGTAGAAATTGAACTGTAAGTAGTAAAATTATACTTTCTAATGCATTTTTATTAGATTATTTTCCCTCACAGTCATTCATGAGCTTCTCAAAAACATCTGGTGTGTTCTTTCTTTAAGCATGTTGATTTTATTTTTATTAGCCTTCAAAATTCTAAGCTAAAATTCTGTCTTTCAAGAAATGATCAGTGGTGACAGGATTTTTCATCTGATGAAGCATTTTGCCTTGTGGTGTACAAAAATAGAGAAAGAATAACTTAAGTGATATTTTAGCTTTTGAGCATATTTAAGGTTCAGGTAATTCAGATACAGACAGTATTACCCTTAAGATGTAATGGTTGGTTTAGAGATGGTTTCAAGTCTTGAAATTCTAAAATCAAATTTTCTGCTTTCACTTTTTCATATTGATGCGACTGATTTGGAGGACTCATCTGCATTCTTATAAAAACGCCACTTACTGAGGGAAAATGGAAGGAAAAATAGTATTTCTGGCCAGTTTGGACTAACACAATCTTCTAGATAAACTTTCCCAACTGAAATATCATTTGGACCTAGTCTGTAAAATTATATCAGACATTTCTGAAAGTGTTGATTTTTCTTTTTGTGTGTGTGTGTGTGTGTGTGTGCTTGAGTGTAATTATATGCTATAATTTAGATGGAGGTGTTTTAACATTAACCCTAAACAGGAGGAATTTGTTCCTTTTAAATGAGAGATGATTTTTGAGAAAAGAAATCCCTAGCCTTTACTGAACGTTGACCTTTTTATTCTAAAGCCTTTTATTCTTTATGATACCTCAAAAGGAGATTCCAAGAGAATGCTTTCTATATGTATTTTGCCTTTGCATTTTGAAAAGGGACTGTGCTAATAGGCTTCCTAGGTCACAGAGTGGAGGCAGTTGGGAGGTACCGTACACTGGAGATCATGTAATCCACCTGCTGCTTAAGCCCAGTCACACAGAGCAGCTGGCCTAAGACCATGTCCGGACAACTTCTGCCTGTCTCCAAGGAAGCAGACTTCTTCCTCAAGCTTACATGGGCTTTCTGTCCTCGAGTTTGTACCTGTTGCCTCTTGTTCTGTCAGTGGGCATTGCCGGAAAGAGATTGGCCTTATTCACTCTATACCTTCCTTTCATATACATGTGTACAGTCATAAGATTCCCCACTTCCTAGTCTTCTCTTTTCCAGGCTCAAAAAGCCAAGCTCTCTCAGCTTCGCATCTGAGAGATGCTTCAGTCTTTTATTACCTTAGTAGTCCACTTCTGGACTTGCTCCTCTCAATCTGCTGGCAATGCTTTTGCTCTTGCACCACAGATTCGCAGTTATTCTTGACTTCCACAGGACTTTCTACAGCCAATGTAACAGGATTAATTCATTATTGAAGTACTGGCCATTATGTGAAACACAGAATTTGAATCTTTATGCAGTTTTTTATAGCAAATAGATATGTTACATTTTTTTAGTACAAATCTTTAACATATTTTGTTGACATGGAGTAATCTTCATGTGCTCTCAAAAGTATCTTTTCATTATCAGGTTCCAGTCACATACCAATTTAATTATCACACGGGAAATTCAAGTGGTGAACAACACATCAACATGGTTCATCAACAGAAAGCCATCAACCTTGAAAGCCGTAGAAGAACAGATTACAGCCTTAAATATCCAAGTGGGCAATTTGTGCCAGTTTCTTCCTCAGGTATTGAAAAATTTTGGAAGACAATGGATGCAAATGGAGTGCTGTGTTTTGAGAGGGTTTTGTAGCTTCTAATTGCTTTGTCTTGCACCACGCAATTCAATTTAATGGGACTGCAAAAAGAATGAGAGAGAGGAAGTAGCCATACTGGTGTGATGCTGAAAGAAATGTGTGGCCTTGCAGGGCTTGCTAATTAGACACTTTTGTACGTGGTTATAAGTTGAGAATGAGGAAAACCACAGGTATTCCCTAGGTTGTTGCTCAGGCAACAACACCAGCAGTGGTGTCTCTCTGTCCCACTGCTTCTGCTGTTGGTGTCCTTAGTAAAAAGAGACATCTGAAGGGAAAAATGTGTACTCTTGAGGTCTCCCAACACCTTCTTTGTGCTTTTATCTGTATGGTGTTGCTGACTTATCCTGTCAATTCCTGCATGTGCTTCTCACTAATTATATCCGGTCAGTTCCTCAGTGTTAGATTCTGTGTTTGATTGGTAACTGAAGGGCAGAGTTGTCTAGATTTAATTCTCCAAAAAGCAAAAAAAAAGAGTGGAGGCAATTGAATACAATTGATGATATACAAAAGATGAGTCTGCAACTGCAACCACAAGCTGGTTGTTAAACTTCTGTAGCTCAACAGTTTTTAGAGAACAGACAGAATTTAAAGGTTTTCTGTGTCTGAATTAAATGAAATTATGCTGATAGTTCCTAAGGGAGGGAGAAGACTAAAGAATGCTATATGCAGCTTCTGTAGCTTAATCCATCTGTGCTCAGACAGGTTAAGGCTCGTTCCTGAGTCCTTCCCAGTTCTTGTAGATCATCCAAGGTGGTAGTAAAATGACGCCTTGTTGGAGCTTGGTCAAGCATGTATTTGCTCTTTTGTTCAAGGAAAAGCATTCAAAAAACATACTGGAAAAGTTAAAATTTAGAAATTCAGAAAGTCTGGGAACAGCTGACTTTTCTCATTTTACATACTCGCAATATTTTTTCAGAGTAAAAATTTCTGCAGGTTCCTCCAGCATAGCTTTTGTGCATGAACATCAGTTTAGTGAATATTACTGTGCTATATGTTTGGTTAATTTGCTCTTTGTCAGTGTAGCAATGGGAAGCTGCTCTGCGTTAGCAGCAATGGCCCCTGGTATACTCGTCTGACAGGCTTTATCTTAAATTTCACATTACTATATTTTTTAGTTCATTATAGCATATAGCACCTGGAAAGGTGTGACCTCTTAAGTCTGAGAACCAACATGAGGAATACAGCAGAATAAAATTCAAAATTATCTGAACAATCTTGTTTAGAATAATGATAGTGAATTAAGACAAACAAAACAAAAAACAAGCAACATTGGTGTCTTTTCCACCACCCCCTCATCCAAGTACCTCAGAAACTGTTGTTGGAGCCAAATAACTGAGGGTTAGAACAGCAAAGACTTAAGCTCTGTCAGAACCATGTATGAAACCCCTACAAATCTTTAAGAGGGCTAGAGGCTGTTGGTTGATAAGATAGTCATGCTATGCTTAACTTTCAGAACTGTCTGGCATGGAACTCTGAATTAGATGACAGTGGTTGCTCTAATTTAATCCAACATTGTTGTGTTATACTATTCTAATCCTGTATTTTTATAATATTTTATTTTGTAGGACAAAGTTGGAGAGTTTGCAAAAATGAGTAAGATTGAATTGCTTGAAGCCACTGAAAAATCTATTGGTCCTCCAGAAATGTATCAGTTTCATTGTGAACTTAAAAACTTCAGAGAAAAAGAAAGAGAACTGGAGGTAAACATACCTGTTACAGAGACACAAGGAAATAACTATAGGAAAATTTGTGTAATAAAACTTAATGTGAGATTTTACAGAAGAGTAGTTACTTAGTAAGTGTGCAAGTAAGTTGATTTTATCTGCTCCTGCTCATTTTCTCTTAGATTTCATTCATTCACAAACTCACAAGTGCTGGGGCATATCTGTCCCAGTGGTCTGGACACAGATGATATAGGGTGCTTTTTCTCTGCAGAAGCTTTCATAAGGATTTTTGCTACTTTTGTGTGGTAGAAGCTGCTAAACAACTTTAACTGATTCTAGGTTAATGAAATTTTGAGCTGTGAGAATAACTTCACTGTATAATGTATAACCTTTTTTGAAAAGATTTTCTTCAGATTAAGACTGCTGCTAACTATACCTTGACAAAAAATATATGTACTAAGGTACCTGGAAAAAATGGACATCTATTTTTAGTTGGATTTTATCCCCCCAGTTACTGCTGTACTAAACATCCTTCTTGGCTAATATACAGATGAGATGTGCATAATTTCTGAAAAGTGTTTTCACAGAGTAGATACTGTAACGTATGAAAATACGTATGCCTACAGAACTTGTGCAAAGAGAAAAGCAATTCTTTGGAGAAAATGAGACAGAGGATTGAACGATACAAGCAAGATGTTGAGAGATACCACGAACGCAAGCGTCATCTTGACTTAATTGAGATGCTTGAGAGGAAAAGGCCTTGGGTGGTAAGCTTTTGTTTTATTTTCAGTGTTTCCCCAATGTAACCATTTTTTCCTCAAAAACTGCAGTACTATTAATGTGCCAGCAGTTTCTTAAAAAAATCTTTATGAGAGTACCTTGCATATTCTCAGAATTGCTTGGTGTAAACAGGATAGATCTTGATATACTATTTTTGTTCTGAATTTGATCAGAGGTTTTCTTGAATGTGTAAGTAGACGTATGGAGTTTCTGCCCATTTAGAAGAGTCATCAAAATGGGTTAAAAGCAGTATCTGTGTTATTCCTTAAAGAGATAACTGCTTAATTTCAACTATCTCTGGCGTCTTTTGGGGAATGAAGCACTAGTTTAAGCTGATGTGTCTTTTACTGTACTAAGGTAGTATGTTGTTTGCTCTATTTGCATACTTCATGGATTTTATGAAATACAGATACAGAAAGTATAAAAACCTTCAGATAATACTTGTTAGTAGATACAAAAACTTCCTCAAGGCATTTCATAGCAGTTTTGCACAAAAGAAAGCCTCCTGTATATATACAGAAATCTTTGTCCCTTGTATCTTTAAGAGCACCCAATTCAAGGTAATCCTAACTGTAGTAAGTTGCCGTTTTCCTCTGTAGCAAAACGGAATTGCTAGATGAGCGTCCAAAGCAACCAGCATGCGGATCTATAAATAACTGCAGTAGACAAACACAATGGAGAAAACACTGAAAAAAACATCAAATGAAAAAGGCCACACACTATTTTGATGATAGTAGATTCTCTCTTGATCTTAAGCAAAAAGAGCAAGGCTAGGACTGGACATAGCTTACTGTTTCATCACGGTGTAACTGTGGGGTTTTTTTCAACACTCCCCTGCTTTTCACCGGTGAATACTTTTATAACCAAGTGCTGTAGCTAGATGATTCTGTATGTGGAGATTTATTGTCATTAACTATTATATTCCTTATGCACCATTTGAATATGCCTATGTTTAGACGTATCTATTTAGACATACCTTTTAGATGTCTGCTTTAAAATCCATAAAATGAGCCCTGAAAGTGTTTATAAAAAAAAGATTTAAACTTAAGCATTTAGAGGGCTTTTTTTCTGTACTTTTAAGAGTCCTTGAATCAAATTATCTTAATGATAACTGCAGCTAATGAGCAGATTTAAGGAACAATTTTTCTGACATAAGCCTTCCTGCATAACTCTTAAAGAAGGAGTGTTTCTCACCCCTCCAAGCTTAAGCTTTAGGTAGTGTGATATCTTTTAAGGCATCTGTCTCAAAGTAGCATAGAGGCATGAGGTTCTGTTCCTCAAAATAATCCTCCGTCTAATTTGAATTTTTTTTATTCAAGCCATCTCGCTCTTCTTCCTTTTCCATTCACAACTGAGAAAGGAGGGATGAAATGCTTCAAAAGTTCTGCAGATCTCTGGCTGAGTGAATTATTGCAAGGGTCAAGATTATTTGCTTAAAGTTTATCAAAATACATAGATCTACAAAAATCAGGTTTTCTTCAGGTGTTAAATGGATTTTCTCTTTTTTTTTTTTTTTTTTTTTAAAAAAGTAATTTCTAGAAACATTCACATGTCTGAATAAATTATGTGCTAGTGTGTGTTTTCTTGCTTTAACTTTGAAATATGATGCCTTACTTAAAATAGGGCTAAATAACTGTACTTGTGTTTTAACCAAGTGCTTTAACTTCCTAGCTATCTATAATGGTGGCCCCTGCTGGGACCCCATGTCCGTGAATGATAGCCACTTTCTTCAAGGAGTTTTTGGCTTTATGAAAAAGCTGCTCCTAAAATATTTTGATTTAATAACTTGAGTATTCATTAGTTGT